GTGACAAACAATTCCAAAACATGTCAACGTAATGTAATTCAGAAAGCTCCAATAACAATAGGACGGGCTGGAGCATCAAAGCATTCCGTTCTGAATTGTTTAACAAGTTACGACAATTAATGCGGCTGACAAAGCGACAGTTCTCGTGGAAATTTAATAAGGTAAGGTGAACGTAGTGTTGCCAAGTTGGCACTTTCGAGATTAGGTCTAGATCTTATACCATATCCAGTGCCATATTTGCAAAATAAAAAGAAGTTAATAAGAGTCCAAAAAAGATTTAAAAACTGCTAAATTCTAGTTCCCTTGTCGCCAATGTCCTAAGGATTAACAAATACCTATTTTATTTTTAATATTTTATTACTGTTTTGTTTGTTTGAGAATTATGTAGAAGTTTATTTTAATACTTATTAATATATATATATATATATATATATATATATATATATATATATATATTATAATATCACAGTTGTTGCAATGCTTTTGAAAAGGACGTGTCCAATCGCATGAATAAAGGCAAACCCTATTTTCAGATAGAAATAACTGCACAAGCGACACACACATACACACACACACACAAACACTCACACATAGGCACGAGCGTGCGTGTGCGCACATTCACGTGGATAGACATACACACACATATACGCACGTACACATACGAGTGCGTGCGCACGCATACACACACACATACACAAATTCACACGAGTAGACGTCAGTCCAATTAAATTTATTTTATTTAATGTAGTTCAGAAACGTGATATTGAGTTGGTAACACTGAGTAAATAGATTTGTATGAAGGCAATACATTAGCTCGACGAGTTCTGTGTACGAATACTAAACTATTCATATCAGCTTTAATATATTTATAATTTTATAGTAATTTGAAATTGTGCTCAACAATATACTACTGACCAGAGAGAGACTTTGTACAAAAGTCGATTGCTTGCGTACCTCTGTCCCATTCGTGTTTCTATCGTGAAGCAGTTGTGTTTGCATGGCTGTGTTTCGGTTTGAAGGGTGGGATATGGCGTGAATTTACTGGGTACAGAGGAACACCTGAGTCCTCAGGAATGGCAACGCAATGGGGGGTATCATGGGCATAACAGTATACTCTGTTATGTCCATGGTACTGCTCATGTCTATAGGTGACGGTTACCACTTTGCATCAGGTGGGCCGTCAGCTTGTTTGAAATTCTAAGTTGTATAAAAAAAACGGCAAAACTAATTGAAAAATCAAACTATTGAACCGATTTTGATAAAATTTCAATAAGAATAACTCGTAAATGTATCCTTGTCGTGTAAGATTAATTTTCCAAATCTGTTAATATCACATAGTTATGAGGTAGAAATCTTTTTAATGAAGTCGGTTTAAAAGATTCATCTAATTCGGATCGTCTAATTTAAAACGATAACTTCCTCCTACAGACATAAGCTACTGTTGCCGTTATACTCGTAATCTATACTTATAATAAATCTGTAGAGAGGTCAATTTTGTACATGAAATATATTTCCAAAATAACTATCAGGCGGTGATTAGTGATCGATACTGATGCCAAAAATGCAATCAGTAAAATTTTTGTCTGTCTGTCTGAATGTTCATTATAGAAACAAAAACTAGTCGACGGATTTTAACGAAACTTGGTACAATTATTCTTCATACTCCTGGGCAGGTTATAGTGTACTTATCATCACGCTACGATCAATAGGAGCAGAGCAGTGAAGAGAAATGTTAAAAATGTTCACCCGTGCGACGGCGGGACGGGCCGCTAGTTTAGGATATAATTTGACAGCTATGCTAACCTAACCATACTTAGTAGGAGGAAAGGGATTGTTAGCAATGGAGTTTGACAGCTCCATTGCTAGCAATATGACTTATTAGGTCGACCTCCACGTGGTTCCCTCTGGAAACCATCGTGAACAATTCTTGTTGAATTCGTCACGATGGGCTAAATGACCTGCTTTCATCCTCACCTATCATGCCTCACTAATGCCCTGCCAGCGTATACCAATAGCGCAGGCGGGGTTACCATTCCATTATCATCCATTAAAAAAAAACATACATAGTATTGCCAACCCGCTTGCCAAGCGTGGCAATCACTGGCAAACCCCCCACGGTGAAGGAGTATGCATGTGTTCAACAGTGGAGAGCTAACAGCTGATATGATGATGATGATGATAGGTGATGTATTTATATTATTAAAATAAAACTATTTTAAATAATAATAATAATAATATGAATAAAGACATAAATATGTACCTTTTTTTTTATACAACTTAAAATGGCAAACAAGCTGACGGTCCACCTGATGTAAAGTGGTAATCGTCGCCTATAGACATGAGCAGTACCATGGATATAACAGAGTATACTGTTTCGCCCATGATACTCCCCATGCGTTGCCATTCCTGAGTACTCAGATGTTATTCCTCTGTACCCAGTAAATTCACGCCATATCCCACCCTTCAAACCGAAACACAGCCATGCAAACACAACTGCTTTACGCTTGAAACACGAATGGGACAGAGGTACCCAAACAATCGACTTTTGTACAAAGTCTCCCTTTGGTAAACCTACTTTACCTATATGTATTTAAAAGAATAAAATTTTCATTGCGCCTTCGATAAAACTGTTTAAAACTACTCCTCTCCATCCAAAGGTTGCCTGGAAGAGATCGCTTTTAGCGATAAGGTCGCCCATTGTTTTCTCATTGTGATTATTTCTTGTAATTGTTTATATCTATAATAAGTTTACTATTGTAATCTTTTGGAGGAAACAATAAAGAGTCTCTGTCTATCTACTTATTTCACAAGATACATATATGTATATATATATAAGTATACCTCAAATACTTGAATTATTGGAAAGCTTAATCAAAAATGCAGAAAAGGAAAAGAAAATATTTACTGGAGGAATGTGATGAAATATTTTGATTTGCCCGTCAAATACGAAATATACATAGCAAAATAATTACGAAAAAATGTATTGAAAGAATCGTTAAAAGAATTTTAATTTTCCTTAAGAAAAATTACAAAAATCTACATTTTTTTTTATGAAAATTACAATATTTTTATTTCATAAAATATAACCTATCTTTATGTCTGTAAATGAAGTATTTTTGAATTTCTTTTAATAGAAGGTTTACTTCCAAATTATTCCAATAACAAAGATTTTAACATATAGTTGTTACTAATGTATACATATATATATATATGATCCGTGTGGTCCCGTCATAGAATAGGTCACTAGAATAGGTCCCTATTAAAATATCTCCGAAGCCTAATTACGGTTGCCAATCCACCTGCCAAGCGTGACAATTACTGGCAAAACTCTCTAGGGGAGGCTTATGTCAGCAGTGGACAGTTAAAGGCTGATATGATGATATAAATATATATGTAATAGTTGAGTTGTATGACTGTCGTACTAGATGGCGTTGTAAATATAAAAATAGTCACAAATGAACTGAAGGACGAAGCACGTCTAAAAATCTGAAATAGAGCGGAAGTTAATGTTCAAATGCTAGTAAATTCCTCTGTAGACGGTACACACCATACATTAATTTGTTAAGGGAGTTGAGTCCAAATTTTCCGGCTGAGCTGCTCTTCCTCGCGGGACACTTTGTCCTCGCTACGTTGCCATCAGCCGTTAACACGGGGAGTATTTACGAGATACACTTACGAGGAGTTGTTGTCACAGCGTCCTATATTTATAAAATTTATTATATTTTCCTAAAGAAAAAGATAGATAGATAATTTATTTACATTGCTTACAGCACACAAATTGTAACATATACAGATATAAATAAAAATCGAGATAACATAAATTATTAAAAAAAAACAATTTTTTTTATACCACTGAGGTGGCAAACAAGCATTGCCGACCCTGAGGAAACCTCTTTACCCCCCTTTTGAAGAACCCCATGCTGTAGTCTCTTGGAAAAAACTCGGCAGGGAGCTCATTCCATAACCTGAGTGTTCGTGGGAGAAAACATCACTGAAACCGCGTTGTACGCGACCATTTAGGCTGTAAGGTATGAGGGTGAACTCCCTGTTGATGGCGAGCCGTACGATGGTAGAAAGTGACCGTAGGCATCATAAAGCCAAGTACAATTTTTCCTTTTGTGCGTGTGCCATAACAATGCAAAATGGTTACAACTCTGTTTATTGCTCCGCCCTTGTTGAGAGCAAAACACTGATATCCTGTTGTGGTCAAAGGGGAATAGGGGAACAATAAAATAATACCATGTTTATTTTAAATGATTACATCCACGTGGATTACATAATAAATATAATAAAAAATGTATCTAGGCATTATAACAATGAAAATGTTGACGTACTTCTTTATAGGAAGTGGTGTGTAACTCTAAGAACAAGAGAGAAATCATTGGTGTAACTCCAAGTCAAAATGTTTGACAGTATACGGTCGCCATATTTATTTGATCATTCGAATACTCTCGCAACTAATACAAAAAAAAAAAACCTTTTTAGTTCTTCTTTTTATATTGTAATAAGAAATTTAGTAATTTACAGTAGTCTTTAAGGAGTTTGTATGACAAATAATTATATGAAACTAACTGTATCCCGTAACCTTACCCGCGTAAAATAGTATATACAGTATCTTAAGTGGTAATTTAGGGTAATCTTCTTAAGGTAACCTTCTTGTGTATCAAATTCATCCATCTTTTTTTCCATCGTTACATTTTTTCAGATAATATTCATAAAATATTCAATTTATTAATGGTACGAAAAAATTTAAAATTTTAGTGCGTTTTGACCAGTCTGACACTAATGCTGAGTGATGACGTCATTTAAAATGGCGCGCATGCAGGCTTAAAATAATAATTTCCACTTTGACACTTTCCTTTCCTCCTTCCTTTCACAAAATTATTATGAAACTTAGTTTACATATACCATAGCGTACTTTTTACCTCAATAACACAGACGAAACCATAGGTTAAAGCTAGTAATGATATTCATATTAAATGACTGTTATTTTGTTGCAGTGTCCCCCGCGAGCGCTCAACTCCTCTTCCTCATGGAGCCACCACCGCGGCTTTCCTTCTCCAACAGCTCCGGTGCGAAGGTCTCGTGCGCAGCCCACGGGAGCCCTCTCCCCACCATATCTTGGATGACAGAGGACGGGGTGCCGGTGACTGATATTCCAGGACTTAGGTAGGTCAATATTAAAATACTATTACTGTTGTGTGAAGGTGGCGCTATCTGCTGGCAAGAGCATCTAGGTGATGTACACGAAGGTCTTTGACTTTTTTTTTATTATTGTAAGGGCTTTTACCTTCTTCAGGTATATCAGTCCTATCGTAGTCTGAACTGATTTCGCAAACAAAACTTTATCTACTTTCCCTAAACACGGAAAGAAAAGAATTAATAGGCATCAAAAATTTACAGAGATGTTCAAAAAATTCTGGTTTAAGTGCAGCTAACATACGAGTAGATTGAATTATTGACAATGTTGCTGTAGTTTTCAATAGTATTTGTTTGTTTGATTTTGTTTATATTTGTTTAATTTTGTTTAATTTAGTATTGTCTAATTTTGTATTTCGTATACTTATATTTTATTTTGTGCAAATTCTAGTGGTTACCAAATTACTATTTAAGTATATAATTATGTATTATTTTAGCTGTTTGTTTGCCTTAAATAAATAAATAAAATAAATAAACATTAAATTTATTTAAGTTAAAGTGGCGCATTAATTCTAGCTTCAAATATTGTTATTTTGCTTTTCAAAGTACAATGGAATCTATGATCCTTAGCAGTTCTATTAATATAATAAATGTGAATATTTTTAACAGTGGATGGGTGGTTTTGTTACACAGAACTTTGTTACACTTTCACGCAAAAACTACTGTACGGATTTGCATGAAATTTGGTATAGGAATAGATTATATTGTAACTTAGTATACAGAATACTGTATGTACTGGTACAAGAGGATAGGGCCGCAGCATACAGCTAGTATTATAAATGTGAAAGTGAGTTTGTATATTTGTATTCACTTAGAAGTTTGCTAACGATCAGAAAGATGCCGAATCTCCTGGTTAAAAATTCTAAAACAGTAGTTCGTAATGAGCACAAAATATCTTTTCAGGATACTGTGAATGAGGTAAAGATCGCTATGTTGAACCGTTTTAACCTCCATCCTCCGATAAGAGGTTCATGCAGTTAATTAATCACTATTAAATTTGATATATAGTACATAATGGCACATTATCATGGGCGAAAAGGTACACTCTGTTATGTCCATGGTACTGTTCATGTCTATAGGCGACGGTTACCACTTTCCATCAGGTGGGCCGTCAGCTTGTTTGCCATTCTAAGTTGTATAAAAAAAAATAGGATGGAGCCTTCTTCATTCCACATGAGAGACTTATTATCTCACTCAATGAATATATTCCGATTACGCGGACAAAGTCGCGGCTAAAAGCTAGTTAATATATTTATAAAGACGACTGTATTTACTGATTCATTTTTTTATTAAACAGTAAAGATTGTAACACAGCTGCAATAGCGAGATATAAGAAGATTACGTTTTCCAACGCTTTCTTTTGTATTTCTTACAATTTTTTTTACAACACAGGTGGCAAACTAGCATGCAAGTGACTATGCCCATGATCACCCACAACACCAGCGGTTTTTTTAATGGGTGATGATGGAATAGTATCCCTGTCTGTGCTATCGGTATACGCTGGCGGGGCACCAGTAAGGGATGATAGGTGAGGATAAAAAGGCAGGTCAGTTAGCCCATCGTGTTGAATACACTTGGAATTCAGCACGATGGTTTCCAGGGGGGACTACGTGGAGGTCGACCTGTTTTGGTATATTGCTAGCAATGGGGTCCTTAGTCTCTATTATTAACAATCCCTCCCCCCTTCTTTAAAGGTTTAAAACCATATACAATTATCATCGACATATCAGCCTTTAATTATCCATTGCCGAACAAAAGCCTCCCTCCTGGGGGGTTTTGCCAGTAGTTGTCAAGCTCGGCAGACGGACTGGCAGTCCAAGTCAGGCTTTATAGATGTTTAAAGAGGGACGCTGCTGCCCATCCCTCGCTTTCCCTTAGTCGGTTCTTACGACACCCACGGGAAAGGAAGGGGAGGCCTATTCTATGCCGGGACCAGATCGTCATATTCAATATTAATATTTCAATTAATATTTTCCAATACTCTATTCTTTTGATAATTCTTTATTTAATAACAATTCACACCTAGTTACATATACTAGCCACCGAACTAGGCTGATCCTGTATCTCAGTGGTTAGTTAAAAACTTCCTTTGACTTAACATAAGACGGTACAATCTAAAACATAAATACACTCATTTGCAATGTTCAATTTACTTTTGGTGCAACATTGTTAAATGTGGGTAGCATCATATTATTTAGTTACAATTCCTATAATTCTAATGTTATTTTACATATCAATATTGATATATTTTCTTAATCTTCTTTTTATTTAAGAGTTTCCTCTTGTCGGTGCAACTAATTCATGCATCTTCCTCCAGCCAGCTCTATCCCAGGCCATATCCTTTATCTCCCTGTACGACATGACGCCTAGTGTCTCCTTTATCTGTCCCATGTATTTATTCCTCGGTCTTCCTCTTCCTCTTTTGCCCTCTATCTTTCCTTCTACTATGCTCTTAAAAAAATCGTCATGTCGTATAAGGTGGCCTAGCATTTGGCCACTCTATTCTTTATTATTTCAACCATGAAGTATGAATGAAGAATGAATGAAGTAACATTCTCTTAATATATGACATATATATATATATATATATATATATATATATATATATATATATACACGTATATGATGTAAGATTTTTTTTTCCAATTACAGCTCGTATCCGTGTAAATAAAACATCCAATAACCAACTGTTTGTGTTTTATCAGCTGTGTTGTTTGTATACAAATATTGAGTCGTAATAAAATTTGAATATTGCAATGAAGCCGTGATATTGATATAGTTATTTGCATGTACGCTTTACAGTTAATCAACGATCTGCCGTATTGTAACTATTAATTAATAGGTTTAAATGATACGATTGTCTAATAAATTCAAATAATAATTATATACCGATCGTAAGCTTCAAGAAAAGATCATACTTCTTTTTAGAAGGCCGGCAGCATACTGTGTTATATATATATATATATATATATATATATATATATATATATATATATATATATATATATATATATATATATATATATATATATATATATATATATATATATATATAATAAGTAATAAAGGTAAAAAGGAGTTAACGTCCCCAATTATTAAAATTCGTCCAAATAAGATTAACAAAATATATAAAAAGTCAAACTGACTAATGGAACTGGATTAGTGCACCATCATCATCACCATTTCAGCCATTATCCGTCCACTACTCGAGACATGGCTCCCCCATGGACTGCCATAAAGAATGGTCCTGAGCCACCTGTATCCACTGACTCCCTGCAATGCATATGAGGTCGTCACTCCATCTAGTGGGGGATCATCCTACGTTACGTTTGCCAAGAAATTATCTTCCCCATCGGTTCTTCTATATGTCTTATTATGATATAAAATGCTGTGCCACCTATATATATACAACATGACGATTTTCTAAAGAGTACAGTAGAAGAACAAATAGAGGGCAAAAGAGGACGGGGAAGACCGAAGAATATGTACGTGGGACAGATAAAGGAAACACTGGGTATCATGTCGTATAGGGAGGCCAAAAACATGGCCTGGGATGGAGCTGGCTGGAGCTGGACAAAAGATAATGCTGTTGTTTGCATGGCTGTGTTTCAGTTTGAACGTTGGGATATGGCGTGAATTTACAGGGAACCGAGGAATAACACCTGAGTCCTCAGGAATGGCAACGCATGGGAGGTATCATGGGCGAAACAGTATACTCTGTTATGTCCATGGTACTGCTCATGTCTATAGGCGACGGTTATCACTTTCCATCAGGTGGGCCGTCAGCTTGTTTGCCATTCTAAGTTGTGTAAAAACAAAAGATAACTCTTCATTATAAGAGAGATGTCTTAGTAACACTTACACCTAATATTACATTTTCTTAAACATTTCCCATGTACACCTGAGTTTAGTTACAATTTATATATTTATAATTTTAACATAATAAGATAATGGTATTAATACCTAGAAACCTAGAATACTTTGATTTGGTCATTATTATTAGTCGTATAATGTAGGCGTCTATATGTTGGAGTAATCAAAGATTTTGCTTACCATTCGTAATCCGGTGGCGTGATAGTGACAGTGTTGAACTAAGGGTTATATATATATATATATATATATATATATATATATATATATATATATATATATATATATATATATATATATATATATATACACACTAGCTGACCCTGCAAAACATTGTTTTGCCATATACATTATTTCTAGAAAATAGTTTTTCAAATTCAATCAAAAATAGCTAACACTATAAGTGTGTTAGGATGTAATTATGATTGAAAGAGGAATGAAGCGTTGTAGGTAATTAAAGTAGACTTTATTTAATAAATTATTCAAAATAACAAATACATATTAAATTACAATTATTGATATCTATCTATCTATACATCGATAGTAGTTTTTTTTATGATTCTATATATTATATATATATGATTATATATATATATATATATATATATATATATATATATATATATATATATATAACGCGGGAATATATCCTAATAACGACAGAAATTGTTAAGTAATAATTTATTAATTGGTTTATTATTATTTATGAAGATATCCTATAGCAATCACATTTATGTAGAGCAAAATCGAATTATGAGCCGTCTTTCAGGAAAGAGAAATAGTATTGATACTTGAAAATTATATATATTACCTATATATTTTTTTAATTTAATTCAATTCAATCGTTTGTTACGCACTCATTTCGATAAGGTCTCAAGTACTAATTTTCTATTATTATAAACTAACCAAAGTTGAACAAATGCTTCTATCATACACGTCTAAGTTTTTTATACGAAGCTTAAATATCTTAATTAAAAAATTAAAATTAAAAATTATAATATCCTGTTTATTTATTTTTAATCGCCTTTTCATGATTCTCGCCAGCACAATAAAAACTTCCCTTAATCCGGCCCTGTTATTAAGATTAATGTCCGTCAGGC